GTAAAGATGGTCTTTGGAGTGTCACTTCGAGAGGAAAGCTCACTCCTCTGAGGCGGAAACAGCTTCTCTGTGCTCTTGATGATGTCGGACAAAAATGCGACCACAGGCTCTTAAACAGGCTTTCCTCCGACAGAGGGCTCATCTGCCCACCACCTTGTAACAACTGGAGCCAAATTTCTGTTTCACTTTTACCAAGAGAGAGAGACTGACTCCATCCTACCACAACAGGCCGTTGAATTCAAGCCTTTTCACAGAGGAAGCAGAAGACTTCCTCATCTCAAGCCAAAAATGCCAGCTATGCACTCCCACAGGACTCCGGCCCCCTGGCGGCGCAGGGCATCAGGGCTATCGCAATAACCTCCCAGCTGATCTACAAGTCAATTCCCTTCAGTGCAGAACTCCAGACACTGTCCCTCAGTTTAGATCCAAGCTTCAAGCCCCGTTTTTGCCCCAGAAGTACCCGTGACCTCACACACAGACTCAGAAATCTAGACACACTAGCATCTGCGCCCCTGAGACCAGCTGCATTAGCTCTAGTTCTGTTTGAGAGGAGAGAGGGATTTCCCCTGTGCTCCAGCCAGTGCTGCCTGCTGCGTTCCAGGCACAGGAGGGAAAGGCTGTGGGTGAGTGGTGGGATGAGGGAGGGGGGCAGAGCTGATAGACAAACACACAGATGAGACACATGTACCCGAGATAAATGATCCAGGCAGTCAGAGTGTGAGCAACGAGTGCTCTGTAGTAGGTGCTTTAGGCGTCAGAGCCAATGTGCAGTGGTTCTAAGATGATGGCTGTGGCCTGGGACGCTGGCTAACCTGTCAGTTCCCCTGGGAAATGTCAATCTCCTTTCCTCCGCCCCCTCAGCCCTAATCCCACCGTCGTATTTATTTTTGTGCCCGGTCCTGTCCCTGGTCCCTCACAATTCACTATAAAACAAACCTTTTATCAGCATTGGGATACCTTGTGAATAGAATTTTATTTAGCTTATAAGGAGCTACAAAAAGAAACAAAAGATGACATAAATCATAATGTTTATCCATGATGTATTGTTAAATCAAAAAAGCTAGATACAGAGACATGTGTAGAGGATTCCATTTTTACTACCATTCCCCAAAGTAAAAACAGCTATATCCGTGTGTGTCAATTGTAACATATGAGATGACTGCCTTTGCAGGTGAAAAGTGTTGTTGCTTAGAGAAGAGCGATTGAAGGTCTGCTCCTGCCTCTCCCCGCACACAACCGGAGACCTTCCTTCCTGCTCCTTCACTAGGGGCAGGAATATCTCAGGCCCCAGGGCCAGGGCCCATGGATTAGCATCAGGGCAGAAGCCCTGCTTGGGTAAAGCGCTAGGAACGCAGGTAAGGTCTGACTCACCCAGCCCAAGGCCTAGGAGAGACCAAAGTACATGAAAGAGTGCTGCATTTGTTGGACTATTGGGCCTTTCTGCAGAATGTGGGATGGAGAAAGGAGCCATTTTATTTGAGAATTAAAGGGAAGGGTTACTCCAGAGACTGGCCGACTTGGGAACATCCAGTTAATCTTAGCACATACTTTGGGAAGGGCCACCCTAGGCCATGCTAGCTACCAGAGAGCTGACTCAATGGGAGCCGGGCCACATAGAGACTATGATGTGAATGGCACCCCCTGGAAGTGTCCCTTGTACTGTTAGTGCGTCTCTGCTCTTTAGGCCAATCCCCCAACCGTTATCAATGACTTACCTTTCTCCTTATCTCTCTTTCCTTCTCATATTAAAAAAATAAATAAAAATTGTCCTGGCTGGTGTGGCTCAGTTGGTTGAGAATAGTCCCATGCACCAAAAGGTCACCAGTTCGATTCCCAGTCAAGGCACATGCCTGGATTGTGGTCTCGATCCCCGATAGAGGGCATGCAGGAGGCATCCAATCGATGTTTCTCATATCAATGTTTCTCTCTGTTTCTCCCTTTCCCTTCCTCTCTCTCTAAAAATCAATAAAAACGTGTATGTGTTTTAAATGAAGATTTTAAAAGTATCTTCACTTTCTCCCAAGCTTCATTCTTTCCATGGCTGAACGAGAAATGAATTCATCTCTTCTCCCCTAATGGACCCTCCTAGTTCACCTCTAATATGAGCTACCAGATCCCTCTATGATTATCCAGCTTCTTCCAAGGCCCCTCCTTCCTCTAACAAATTATGATTTACCAGGAGTTTCAACTGTGAAATGGCAAGAGAGGAATTATCAGGACAGTGGGGGTGGAGGGAAGTGGGGTGAGAAATTCATTTCCCCCAATTGTCATTATTAATTCTCCACATACCTGGGTAATAGGCTTGGGAGGTCCTTACTGCTGATGTTCAAGTGGCTCATACCAGTGATAAGATGGACCCCTAACAACAACAACAACCCTAACACAACAGCCTCACACATGTACAGTGGCGTATAGCTCATCCCCAGGTCTAGCTATGCAGCTCATGTAGTGCACATTTCCGTGCCAGGCTGCTATATTTACCCCCCTCTCTCACGTGAGGACATTGAAGCTGAGGAAGCACGTTTAGTTCTCCTGAGTACAAACCGCACAGACCGAAGATGCTATCCCTAAATAAATGCAGGTCTACTAGGACATGTCAATCAGGGATCATTAATCTGGGCCCCAAGTGCGGGGGCGTGAAGGGGGAACCTCCCCAAAGGGGAGTCTTTAAACTTTTGGGGGGAAAAGTTACTTTATTTTCAATCACCTCTAACTAAAATTTAGTATTTCCTTTCATTATAAATGTAGTCAACAATAGTGTCAGCAGCAGCTGTGACTTTGCCCCAGAAGAAATCAGACATTTCATATCCATGAAAATGTCTCCAGAAATGGTTTAATCTCATCAGGACGTCAAAATTATGGTTACTACTAGAGGCTCAGTGCACGAAATTCGTGCACTGGGGGTGGGATGGGGGAGTTCAGCCTGGCCTGTGCCCTCTCGCAGTCCAAGACCCCTCGCTCCTTACCGCCTGCCTGCCGGCTGCGCCCTACCGCTCAGTTCGCTGCTCCTTAGTGCTGCCACAAAGGCTCCCGCCACCACCACTGCACTTGCCAGCCATAAGTCCGGTTTCTGGCTGACCAGTGCTCCCCCTGTGGGAGTGCACTGATCACCAGGGGGCAGTTCCTGCATTGAGCATCTGCCCCCTGATGGTCAGTTCATAGTGACCAGTCATTCCACCGTTTGGTTGATTTGCATATTAGGGTTTTATTATATAGGATTAGTTTCCTGCTAAATCTTTTTGTAGAATGCATTAATAAATCAGCACATATATTGCTATATCACTACTTTAATATTCTAATGACTGTAATTCATGACCATTGGCTTCCTTTGTAATTTTACACATTTAAAAACATTCTGTGAAAAGATCCATAGGTTGCACGATTGTCAAAGGGGTTTATGGTGCATGTGTGTGTGTGTGTGTGTGTGTGTGTGCACAGGTTGAGAGCTCCTGATCTAAAGGACTCAGGACATGGTTAGGAATTCATCTTGTTCCTTTTACCATATTGTGTTGTAGATATTTATGTCTTTCCTCCCTTGTTAGCTTTGAGTTCTTACGAAGTAGGAATGGTGTCTTATATTTCTTTGAGTCCTTAGTACCTACAACAGGAATTGGCACTCACTGAACCATCATTTATAGAGTATCTACTGTGTGTAAGGCTCAAGTCCCATTGGGTGAGGCAAAAGAATGGAGAATTCAAAGGCGAGCAATAATTCATTCATTCAATCAATCATGTATTCATTTAGAGAACTGTCCAACAGCTACTCAATACCAGCCACTGTGGTTGGCTCTGGGGACAACAGAAAAAAATGAGACCCAAGTCTTCATTCTCATGGAGCACCCATTCAGCTAATGGGAAGAAGAGAACACAAGATTTCTGAAGACAGACAAATGGGAATGAGGTCACTCTTTCTGCAGAGTCATTGGGAAAATGTCGTTCTTAAATCTATGTTCATCTGCTCCTTCTAGCCAAAGATTCCAGGGAGAAAGTAACCACCGGACTAGAAACATGCTCTTCCCAAGAGGAAAAGTCTGGGGTTCCCTGGGGATCATTTACCTTGTGTGGTTGTGGTCTTGCCTAGCAAACTTTGAGAAGTTAGTCCTCCATGGCCCCAGGTGTTTCAGGGGCTGCCTGTCCAAAGACAGCAAGCCGATGTCTGCCCTCGCTGTGGTTCCGGTTCTGTTACGGTTCAAGGATTCTGTGATGCCATCAATTAGTCAGAATGCGCAAGGTTGCCTGGATACCTCGGGTTTCTTTTTCTTGGAAGAGACCAAGGCTGGGCAACCTCCTCATTTTGCCAAACATGTGCTGAGAGACCAGGCTGCGAGAGACATGGTGGTGCAGCTACCTGACTCTGCGCCAGGTCATCGGTCTAAGCAGATGGCAAAGGAGAGACCCCCAGCAGAACTGGGAGCTGGGCGATCTTACCATGGAATGGGAGAGCTGGAGGAAGATAACAAGAAGATACCAAGGACAACAGGGTTTGGGGTTCACTAAGACAAAATATGATCAGGTAACACATTTCCCCAGAGAGATCTAACCTTAACATACAAAAAGATAAATTTCATAAATCCATACAGGCTGTCTCCAGAGAGAGATAATCTTAAAATACACCAAAGTCCATTTTGATTAATTTAGCACCCACCTACAGCAGTATCGCCATAAATGTTGACTGAATATATGAAAAAAAATTTCCCAGAGAGCCTCATCTCCCTCATGTGTCGCAGCCCCAGCGGGCCTCTCTCTCCCCAGGGGGCCTCTCTCTCATTCGACTGTGGGATCCTGAGATAAAATCACTGGGAGTATTCCTTCAGATGAAATTTGGATCACCTGTTAGAGATATTGCAGCAGATCTTCCATATATTTCCCCTTGTTGGTAAGAAGTTTAGACTAGAGAGATGCTTTCAGCAACTTGTGACTCTGTGCCCCTTATTCCACCTGCAGAGCATGAAGTTACCAAGTAAGCCTCCCAGATGAAATATTAACCCCTCATGCAAAGATTCTTGGGAAATAAATATCTTTTATTAATTTACTGGATTTCATATACCCAATAGTTCTTAAAACAAGTATTCACAATAGCAACACAAACCACATGTAAAATGAAAGACAGGTCCCGCCAATGACACCCTTCCCAGTGATACATGGGTATTGAAAAAATCCTACACGGTGCTGACACTACACCCTGGGAGCATAAAAAAGGTTCCTACAGGCTCCCTGGCAATCAATCCTCCTTCATCCTGGGCCTGAACTCTAAAGTCTTTGGAGTCAACATGACAAGTTAAGGACAAGTTAGATGAGATCAAGTAGAGGGCTCAGCCTACTACAGCGATGGCCGAAGCATGCCAGTGGGAGCTCAGCCAGCCAGGCCACATGGCAGATCATGTATATGTCGTTAAATCCAGCAGCCACAAGACCCAAAGCCATAGAGAACTGACAGGCCAGGCCTCAACTGAAAATTTTGCTGAAAGGGGATCTCTCCAGCCACATGCTTTGAGTTTACAAGTTGGCCCCTCTTGGACCCAAATATGCCAAATAGAGCTTTCATGTATTCCCCGTTGAAAACCAGTAGCAAAATGCTAAGAATGCCCGAGAAACCGGGGTTCTCTTTCAGCCATCCCGAAGGCGAAGACAGCCAGAAGCTTGCCTGTTGGTCCCTGATCAAGTCATCGGCCAGAGGAAAGCTTGTCAGCATCCAAGGCGCACTGGGCCCCGCCGTGAGGCCGTCCTAGTTCTCCTTCTGTGCCTGCTGCAGCCTCTTGGCCACAGCAGTGATCAGAGCTGCTCCCTTCCCACTCCCGTCTTCTGACAGCATGAACGTCACATCACATTTAGGGGCTAGCTCTTTCACCGTTTCCTGCAATATCCAAGAAAAGCTATGAAAAATAGAAAGAGAAAAAAGACATCATCAGCACTTACATAGGGAATCATCGTATTTATAAATTATTTCCACCTAGTTTGTTGCTTCTAGCTTGCTTCTCAAGGATCCAGAACAGCTTACACGGTTCTTTAGATAGCTGCTTTAATATTGCCTTTTACTGAGCAACTGCTAATGCCAGAGAATAGTCTAGGAAGGTGTTTCACATACAGAACATCAAAGTGTAACCAAGAGTAGTTCGAAAATAATTATTACTATCTTCACTACATAAATAAGAAACTTGTCCAAATTTGTACAAACTAGTCCATTTATTAAGATTTGGACCAGGCCAGTCTTTTTCCAAATCCCACCTTCTTTGGTTCAAAATTTCCCCCCATTTTTATTTTCAAAGTTTTCAAATGTTGAAAGCATAGTTCAGTGAGTACCTCTATACCTTCTGCCTCGTCTCAACAAAGTTAAAATCTTGCCCTGTTTGATCCATCCATTCACCCATCTCTCCTCCCATTAATTTTCCCCCAAAGCTGACAGTCTTACAATACTTGGCCTCTCTATCATTTGAGATATTAAATCCATTTGAATTTACATCCTGGGAGTCCGTTACCAGGCCAGTCTGTGGGATCAAAGTGTGTCTACCAAAGGCCTGGGATGAGGGTTACTAATGGCACAGGTGGCAGTCATCTCTGAGGGCCAGCATGCTAGAGAAGGATCTGAGCCCAACTCTACTGCACAGCCAGTGGGTGACTCTGGCCAACCAATGCAGCTCCTTGGGGCTCTGCTGGTTCAGTGGGAGGAGAAGGGAATTTTATCAGAGGCACAGTCAGGGTAATCAGTCCCAAACTTCCCAGGAGATAGGAGAAAATGGCTTGGCAATCACTGCTTAATCAAGTCTTTCTTTCTTTTTCTTTTTTTAAATATACAATTATTCAGTGGTTTTTAGTGTATTCCCAAAGTTGCACAACCATCACCACTGTCTAATCCCAGAACATTTCTGTCATCCTAAAAAGGAAACCCATACCCAACAACAGTTGCTCTCGATTCACACTAACCCCAGCAATCACTAATCTTTCTATCTTTATATATTTGCCTATTCTGAACATTAATATAATGGAATCTGTTATATTTGGCCTTTTGTGTCTGGCTTCTTTCATTTAACATGATGTTTTTCAAGATTCGTCAAAGTTGTAGCACGCGTCAGTACTTCATTCCTTTTTATGAGTAATAGTTCATTGTATGGCTATCCTACATTTTGTTTGCCCACCCAGAAGTTGATGGGCACTTGGGCTGTTACCCCTTTTGGCTAGTATGAATAATGCTGCTATGAACATCACTAACAAGTTTGTGTGTGAACACATTTTCAATTCTCTTGAGTACGCCTAGCAATGAAATTGCTGGGTCACATGGTAACTCCATGTTGATCCTTTTTAGGAATTGCCAAACTGTTTCCCACCAGCCAGGCATTGGGGCTCCAATTTTGTCACATCCTGATCAACACTTGTTACTGCCACTCTTTTTAATTATGGCCATCCTAAGTGCATGTGAAATGGTAGTTCATGGTTTTGACTTGCATTTTCCTGATGACTAACGATATTCGGCATCTTTCTGAGTGCTTATCGGCTATTGTAAATCTTCTCGGAGAGATGTCTATTTAAATCCTTTGTTCACTTGTTGCTTATCTTTATTGTTGAGTTGCATTAAGTGTTCTTTATATATCCCAGAGATGAGTCCCTCATCAGATACATGATTTGCAAATATTTTCTTCCATTCTTTGTTTTCACTTCCTATGGCATATAAAATATTTTAATTTTATGGAGTCCAATTTACCTACACTTTCTTTTGTTGCCTATTCTTTTGATGTCATATTTAAAAACATTGCCTAATCCAAGGTCACAAAGATTTACACCTATGTTTTCTTTTAGGAGTTTTATAGTTGCAGATCTTAATTCAGGTCTTTGATCCATTTTGAGTTAATTTTTGTACATGGTGTGAGGTCAGATGCCTTTTACTGCTTTTTCTTGCCTTACTGCCCTGGTTTTCCCCTTGAGGCCACATGTTTTGGAACTGACTCTTACAAACCTCTCCTTGAATCAAGATTCGACTGAGAGACAGGAATCACACAGCCACCTGAGGCAGCATGAGAAGGTACAGGGCTGAATGGCAGTGGCAAGAGTGCATCCTCGTCTTGTTCCTGATCTTAAGGGAAGAGCATCCACTCTTCCTCTCACCAGTAAGTATGATGCCAGCGGTGGACTTTCCCAGATGCTTTTATACCCGGCTGAGGAAGCTCCTTTATTCCTACTTTATTGAGTAATTTTATCCTGAAAAGTGTTAAATTTTACCAAATGCTTTGTCTGTACCTACTGAAATGATCATGTGGTTTGTTCCTTGATCAAGTCTTGGTTCAAGGGAGAGGCTCGGAGGAACCTCAACAGAAATATGTGACCCAAAAGGAAAACCAAGAGACAATACCAGTCAGTTATTCTGAACAATTAGCATCACAGAAAGGGCTAAGGGTCAAGGATTACAATAATAAGTTCAGGTATACACTTCAGCATGACTGAAAATCTGTATAAGCTTGTTAATACTTTTCCTCTTCACCAAAACAAAATGTAAAACACGACATGAAGTGGAAATTATAACTTTCATCACTGGAAGTTTTGTGATGAGCCATCCCTGCTACAGCCACTGCTTAACTTAATCCTCACAGCCATCCATGAGGCAGGTCTGATTTTTGTCCTCATTTTACAGGGAGTAAGAAACTGGATTCAAACTCATATTGCCTGACAGGGCTCTTAATCCTTCTGCCCACTTATTCTGAGCTAAGAAAATTATAACCAGCTCATACTAGACAATGCTCTATGTTATATAAAATACTCAGTTCAATGACTCCCCTGTGAGGCCAGTATTTACTGAGCACTTTACCTGTATAACCCATGTAATCTTCATGTAGCTCTAGGAGGTAGAGATTATCACTGCCCGCCTTTTACAGATGAGGAAGCTGGGGTTCAGAGGGGATGGCAAATCCTCCCACATCATACCACAGGGCTCAACCTTACCTGCCAGATTCAACCAGGTTCTACTCCTGAACTCAGCGCCCTCCCACCCCGTCCTTCTCAGGCACTCACTGAGGGTGCAGCTTGTACAGGGTGCCGTCCACGCCCACAGTGATCTTCAGGTGCTCCAGCCCCTGGTCTTCCCTCCTCTTCTCCACGATGGCAGCCATGCCTGCGCCACAGAGCTGGGCCGCCCGACGGGACACAGCTCCACACACCTCCTTCACCACGATGCTGTCCTCGCACGTGCTGTCCAAGCCAAGCTGCTGCAGGATCCTCCTCACCTGGAGGAGGGCCAGCCGATCGCTGCAGGAAGAAGAGTGTCATTAAGAGAGAACAACTTAGAAACAACCTCTATGACCATAGAGCAGATTCGACAGGTAAGGGGGAGTGTAGCCAGACAGTAGAAGCCTTTGTAGACCTTAAAATTGAGTTCGCATGAGAATATCTAATGCTATGAAACATGATTATGATGTATTAAGTGAAAACATAAATTATAAAATACTAGCTGCCATATGATCTTGGTTTTTGTTTTTAAATGATGTTTGTCCTTACACACACACACACACACACACAAAGAGCAGAAGGAAATCTATTCAGATGCTGGAAGGATTGCCAGTAATTCTTATTTTCTTCCTTTTGCTTATGAATATGCAATATTTATATAGGAAGAAAAAAAGTGGGGTTCCATTACTATGTATAAAATTCCTTCCATGATCTAGCCCTTCACAGTTTACCTAGTTCTTTCCTGTATGTTCCCTTACTCTATCCTCAGAGCCGTCCTTGGGGTTAAGCAGCAGAGCAATTATTTATCTTATAAAGAAGGAAATTGGGTCCAGAGAGGAGCTGCCTGCTTCAGGTCGCCCAGCACAAAGGAGTGAAGTGGTGGAGAGGAAGCAGAAGCTCAGGCTCTGAGGCTGTAAACCCAGGATGCTTCCCCTCAGGTCACTGTCCCACCCACTCAACACGTGTCGACATGGTCCACAGTCAGCACAGCAACTGCTAGATTCCCACTGGTACTCGATGGGATGATTTTATTTTAACCCATAAAGGTGCTTTTTAAAATGCCTGCAGAAGTGAAGGCATCCAAAGCAGACACGTTTTGTGTGGCAGAAGCAAATACTTCTGGAGGCATATACGTCCTGACAACTTGCTTTGTCCGGAACAACTTTCCTTGTGTTCAAAAAAGCAAGGCAAAGATCAGTCAATCTGTTTATCTCCTGCACACAGGGAGCAACTGTTTCCCCCACAAAAGAGGACCCTCTGGTCACCAAAGGCAGCGACTTTTAACTTGCACTTTCAGATTGGATGAGTTGAAGACCAGACCCCTCCGCCTCCCAAAAAAGAAAGCTGAATGTTTGCTAATCATCACTTCAAAAACATAAAATTGCTGCTGGTGCTGCAGATTCTACCACCCTCTCCTTAAAGAGAACTCCTCTGCGTCAGCCCATCGCATTGCCCTCATTAAGTGCACTGCTTTCATTTATAAAGAGTTTTCTTTCCCCTTCCCCCCCAGGATGATTTGTGGCTTGCTGGCACCTGGCCATAAAGACCAGGAGAATTTGCCCTGACCGGTTTGGCTCAGTGAATAGAGCGTCGGTGGACTGAAAGGTCCCAGGTTCGATTCCGGTCAAGGGCATGTACCTTGGTTGCAGGCATATCCCCAGTAGGGGGTGTGCAGGAGGCAGCTGATCGATGTTTTGCTCTCATCGATGTTTCTAACTCTCTATCCCTTTCCCTTCCTCTCTGTAAAAAAATCAATAAAATATATTTAAAAAAAAAAAAGACCAGGAGAATTAAATGAAGGAAGTCAAATTGAGAGAAATTCCAAACACAAAGCCTCTGATCACATCCAGGGCTGGTAGGAAAAGCAGTGAAACTGCCATGTGTGCATAGCTGGTGGCAGTGGGAACTGGAACTACCTTTTAAAAAAGTGTGTCCAGCCCAGCTAGCGTGGCTCAGCGGTTGAGCATCAATCCAAGAACCAAGGGGTCATTGGTTCGATTCCTGGTCATGGCACATGCCTGGGTTGTGGGCTCGATCCCCAATTGGGGGCAAGCAGGAGGCAGTGGACCAATGTTTCTCATCGATGTTTCTATCTATCTATCCTTCTCCCTTCCTTTCTCTCTAAAAATCCATTAAAAAAAAGAAAATATGCTTACAAACATTTAAGAACTTGAAAGGGAATATAATATGCAAAAATAAAAACAGCTGTATTTAGTGGTGAGCACGTGGGTGATTTTTTAAAATGACTTTGCTTTCATATTAGGGATATATTTTCTTTTTAGGAACAAAGAAGGATCATTTTCTGGCCTCAGCTAACTCCTGGGTAACAGTTTAGGAACCCAGAGCCCAGGCAGGCTGCCGGCCCCTCAGCTGTGAGCACGCCCTGGGGCTGTGGTCCTGAAGCAGCTGGAGAGGGGGCAACCCCTCCTCATCTGGCCTCGCCGTTTCTACTCTTAAATCTCAAACCCGCCTGCCCCCAGCATGACAGCAGCACATCCAAGTCAGGGCTCTCACACTGAGCAGTGAACTTGACCGCACGTCACCTTTCAATCTGGGACAGGAACTTGGTTTCAAAGATGCCCCTGGTGCGGAGACGCTCTGAAATCTGCCCCCGGAAGAGGAGACCCTGCTTGGTCAGGTCAATCAGGATCTGCCGCACAATCTCCCCCAGGTACATCCCGCTGGTCATTTTCTCGTATCTGTTTGGGGAAGAGGGATAAGATGGGTGAGAGCAGGAAAACCAGCGCTGATGAATGGTTCCCAAAAGGACATGGGTCGGGTGTGGAAGGCAGACCCCTGCCCACAGCCAGCTGCCTGGTGTGGAGTGTTTCCGAGTGAGCAGCGGCCAACAGAAATGCAGTGATGTGGGAGAGCCAGGCTTTGGAGCCACGGGGAGCGGGAACCAGGTCCCAGCTCTGCCACATACCAGGGGCACCTGAGCAAGCACTGAGCCATCATCTATAAAACAGGGACCAAAACACTGACCGCACAGGCCGGGCTGAGGAACCCCCTACCCCCGAGTGCATAAATTTTTGTGCACCAGGCCTCTAGTGATATTATAATGATGGAAATATGTTATACATGTCCAAATCCACAGATACAACTCCAAGAACAAATGATTATGATGTGTCAGTGTAGGTTCATCCTTGATAAAAAAATATATACTATTCTGGGAATTGATGTGTAGGGAGACTATGCATGTGTGGAGGTAGGGGGTAAATGGGAAACCTATGTACCTCGCTCTCAGTTTTGATGTAAACCTAAAACTGTTCTTAAAAAAAAAATTAAGTCTTTTTAAAAACCTGGGAAAAAATCAGGCTGCCAGA